TTAGGGTAAGGCTTAGGGTTTAGGGTTAAGGGTTTAGGTTTTAGCGTTTAAGGTAGGGTTTAGGGTTTAGGGTTTCGGGTTTACTGTAGGGTGTTCAGAGCCCAGGCAACAGAAGAGCCGTGCAACACAAGCTGCTTTGTCGAGTCCAACGTTCCAATCAAATACCCCGATGCTTGGCGGTTTCGGGTGTTGGAGGTTTGGGTTGTTTGGGCTTTTACATCTTGTTTTTTTCGGGTTTTGGTGTTGTTGGGTCTTTTGGTGTTTGTAGGGTTTTGGAGTTTCAGGGGTTTCGGGTTTGGGGTTGAGGTTGTTAGCTTCATTGTTTACAGGCATTTGCATGGAATTGAAGTGTTTGTGGGGTTTGTAGGTAGGGGTGAGGAGGGGCAATGGAGCCTTATCTCGGATGTAGGGCGTTCAGGGGTTCGGCGCGTGTGGATTTTCGGGCATTCTGGGCTGTTCCGTAACCTCAAGTTATGTGGGCACCGTTTTGGTCCTAGGGTAAACACTAGATCCCTACCCCCACACCATAAGCCCTGTCAATCCTAAAATGAACCCAGAACCTCGGCAACCCTTGCAGGATCACTGAAAGGAAACCCTAAACCCTAAACCCAAAGTCCAAACCTTAAACCTTAAACGGTATATTGTATATATATATATATATGGACAGGTAAACCCTAAACCCAAGCCCTGAACCCTAAACCCTAAACGGTATATATGGACAGGGGCCATGTTTTCAGAAGCACCCAGGAAGTATGCGTGTCGAAGTTCGGGCTTCTGTGCGGGAGCACACGATGAGGAACCTTCATTCCAAAGAGCCTACCGCTCTTAAGGACAGGTATAAGGAAATCATAAGAAGGATCCCGAAATTTAAACAGACTGTTTTAAGGAAATCATAAGAAGGATCCCGAAATTCCAACAGACTGTTTTAAGGAAACCATAAGAAGGATCCCGAAAGTCAAACAGACTGTTTTAAGGCAATCATAAGAAGGATCCCCCGAAAAAGGTCGGGTTCTTCAGGGCCCAGGAATAATCGACATGCTCAGCCGACTTGGAGCTTAAGGTTCGATTTTGGTTTGGGTGACAGTACCCATAGGCCCCATAGTGGTTCCTTTTTGGGACTACCTTATAGGATTCTAAATATGAACCCCAAAAAGGAACTACTGTGGGGCCTATGGGTAGTGGCTTTCAACAAGGGCTGTTGAGATCTTGAGACATGTTGTTGGGCCTTGCTTCTGGGTTCCTGCAACAAAATATGGAACCCCCAAAAGGTGTATACCTTTCCCAACGTGTCACTGAGCAGCCTAGAGAGCCTCTATTGAGATTGCTTCATCCGAGGAGTACATCTCCCACCGCTCGCTGGCTTGGAAGCAGCCTGGCAAATTCTGACTTCCTGCCCTAAACCCTTAGACCCTAAACTAAACCCTTAGTCAGGGGAGAGCTTTGAACTTTTAGTGTTTCCTCCCCTATAACAACCCTGAACCAGAGGAAGAGCTTCGAACTTTGAGGGTTTCCTCCCTAAACCCTCAAACCCTACACCCTAGACCCTAAACCCTAGACCCTAGACCCTAAACCCTGAAGCCGAGGAAGAGCCGTAAACTTTTAGGGTTAGGACTTAGGAAACCCTAAACCCTAAATCCTAGGTTCTAGGCAGCCCCTTCGATTGCCTAAAACCACAGCCAGAAATCCGGATCTCGGGGCCTTTAGGGTTTAGGATTTCGGGTTTAGGACTTCGAGCTTCGGGTTTAGAAGTGAGGGTTTAGGGTTTAGCAGTTTAGCATAAGACGAGGGTTTGTTCGGTTGATACTAGAGTGCCACTATGTAGGGACTCTAAATCACAAGTCGGGATGATCTTAGGCAGGGGACTGGGGATAGCGATGCGCCCATATGAGTTGGAGTCAAGCCATAGGGCCATAAGATCATGTAAGTTTGGGGTTTAGGGTTTTAGTGTTTTAGGGTTTTGGGTTTTGGTTTAGGGTTTAGGGTTTAGGGTTTGGGGTTTAGGGTTTTAGGGTTTTAGGGTTTAGGGTTTTGGGTTTTGGGTGGGTTATAGCGAGGAAGTAATATCTGAATCAGGAACCTAAACCATAAACCCTCACGGCAAGGCAAGGGAAGTGGGTGCCAAGCCCTGCCACCGTGGACAAGTTCGTCAGGCCGTGCACGCACGTCATTCGAATAGTTGGCTGTTGTCTTCGGGGTTCACGGGTGTAGGGGTCACTGTTTTTGCGGGGTACATGGTAGCAAGCTACAACGTGAATATGCAGGAACCCTAACCCTAAGCCCTAAAAATTTCCACAGCTGTCTGGTTCACTCATCAAGGTGGCACCACTGTACCGCCTCAAGCCGGATCCGATCACGTTGTCAATAAACCCTAAACCCCAAACCC